TACGTAATTCATTCAGGGGGCATGTCCATATTGGAAAATGCTTTTGGTACACATATTTTCCCGGAAAGACGGACATGTGTACACATTTTGTGTATCTCAAGCAAAATTCATCCATAGTATAGGGGGGCGTATACATATCCCGTGTATATATTACATCGGTTTTTTATAGTTGGAACGGAGTTAACATTTCACATTTGTAAACACACATCTTATTCTCTATTAACAAAAACATTTGAAAAAAAGATTTTGAAAATTTGTAAGGAGATGAATTGTGAATAATAGTCTAAATGTAGTCAAAGAAGAGCATGTGAATAGTGTAATATTCAACATGTTGCGATTAAAAAACGAAGGATAGTAGGAACAATTACACATAAGAATAATAACGAAGATAATAGAAACAATTACATATATATGACTATAACAAAAATTACAGTGGTATACATACATATATATATATATATATATATATATATATATATATATATATATATATATATAGGGGAGGGTTCTAGTGAGAACCCCTCTTAAAATGAGAACTCATGAGAACCCTTAGAACCAGTGGTATTTTTAGCTGAATTTTTTTGTGTATGTTCCTCATCAAGTATAGTTCATCCATACCAAATTTGAGCAAAAAAATCAATTGGGAAGGTTGTCAAATGATTTTTTGAAAGAAAATTGCGTTTTATATGTATGTTCCGGACCAGTTTTCTTTCAAAAATCATTTGACGACCTTCCCGATTGAATTTTTTGTTCAAATTTGGTATGGATGAACTAGATTTGATGAGGAACATACACAAAAAATTTCAGCCAAAAATATCACCATTCTCAGGGGTTCTCACGGGTTCTCACGTCCAAAAATATCACCATTCTCAGGGGTTCTCACGGGTTCTCACGTTAAGCACCGTTCTCATTTGATCTTTATTCTATATATATATATATATATATATTAGTAATATTGTATAAATAAGTTTTATTTTAATAATATTGTGACTGATGTAGTGATTGGTGTATTCCCAATTACAGTGACTTGCAATTTTAGTGACATGAATTAGACCACCAAATAATGACCACTCGTGAAGTGTTGTCACCGTCGTCCGGATAAGTGACTATCATCGCCTCCCAAATTAGTGACTGTCGTCGCCGCCCCGATTAGTGAATGACGCCGAAGCCCCGACCCGTCCAGTAATTGCCACCGCCGCCCCATCCAATGACTGCCGCCACACTGATCTGTGACTCCCACCCACCCCCATATCAGTGACCGCCCCCCTCCCCCACCTCCCGGCTAGTGACAGCCTCCTCCCCTAACCAATGACCATTGTCGTCCCCGAACTGTGTCTGCCTCCAACCATCGTTGACCATCACCGCGGACAACCACTCCGCCGCCAGCTTGACTCCCTGGCTTCATCCCCAACCCCCTCCGATCCCCCTCCCCTACCCCCTTTGATGCCCTCAGCCCCCTCCTCAACCCCCTTCGATCCCCAAGTCACCTCTTCAGCCCCCAACCACCCCCCCATCCCCCATGCCCAATCCCCCTCCCATCCCCCCATCTCGACCCAAAGCTCCTCCACCCCATCATCGATCATGGCCCAATCTCATCTCCCCTACGCCTGTCACCCAAATCGTCGGACCATTGTTGCCCCACCACTCCCTGTAACACCCCGCTCTGTAGGGCTCGAGGTAGTTACTCATTCACACTTTCCAAACCTCTATTACTGTACTCACAAACCACTACAAACCTTTTCCGCGCACTTTGTCCGATCCTCACTCATGCGCGCCATGAAAAACTTCTCATGGGGTCACCCATCCCAAGACTAAACTTGTGCAAACACACTTAACTTGGTATGAGAAATTGATGCCTTATTGATATGAGTAGTACTATCAAACCAAGCATTCCAGCTTAGCTGGTTGTGAGGTTATCGTGCCTAGTGGGAGGTATCGAGTTCGAATCCCGCTAGGCACATAAGGGTTTGAAACTCAATGGAGTGAGTTTCAGCCTCATTACTCCAGGCCCCCCAGACCCCCTCCCCTGGAGTTAAAACAAAGAGTAGAACTATCAATTCTTTGAAATTAATCTCAAGTTACATCCCAGCCGCCGCAATAACGCACGCATCCCAGCCTCACCAAACAAGGTTGCACCCCATCCTGCAAACTACTCCCTAGCTTCCAGGCCCGCCTTAGCCACCTCCCTACCCCTACCGCATCTGAGTCACCCGGCACGAACCAGATCTGACAAAAAAAATGTGTGAAATCCTTCAAATGTGAAAACTAGATCTGAGCAACAGTTGTAGCAGAGAAAGGAGTAGAAGAAAAGAGGGTTGTGGCAGTTGAAGAGGCGGGGCAGCGGTTGAGTAGGCATGGCGAGGAGCTGCGGCAGCTTGTGCGGCAAGGCAGACCGGCGGTTTGACGCAGCAAAGGCTGTGGGAAGAGAAAAGGCGCAAAGAAGAAAGACGTGGAAGACAACGGGTTTGAAACTTTCACGCAACAATTCAATTTTAAGGGGGACAATGTTATGTCCAAATATAAAATGGTCATACTCTTGTCCATCAAAACTCCACAAGTAATATTAGAGGCTTCTACTCAAAAAATGGGATTGATATTTAACTTGGACAAAAAAGAGAACATTTAATTTATAATCTACTCAAATACCCTTTATAAACCCTAATCCATTGTATGCGTCATGCTGCTTCAACCATCTGCCGACTGTTATCCACCTATATTCTATTTCTTTTGATAAGTGCGAGTCAGCCTTCTCCGCCACCGTCTAGGTAGTTTCCCCTGCTGCCTCCTCAGCTGTCATCGTCGTCGCCCCAGCCCCTGTTATCCTTTTCTCCTTCTTGCTCCCAAACTTTTTGTGCCAAATTGGCTAAATTGGAAGATGTTTGAGAGGAATATGTAACCTATTTTTCATATTTTTCATTTTTATCCATATAATATATTTTAAATATACTTTTTTCACAATGCAGCAGAATCAACCAATTCAACCACTTCCGTGTTACCAAGCGGGCTCTTAATAAATTTTTAGAATTTAGTTTCTAAGACATGTTTGGTAACACAAAAACTGACCGAAAATTTTACATCTACTAAATTATGAAAAATTAAAATATACTCCCTCCGGTTTTATTTAATCTTCATACTTTGACTTCACACAAAATAAGGAAAGAAATTTGACTTTACTGTAGAGTACATTGTTGAGGCACTGTTTGACACTGTTTGGCACTGTAGAGACACTGTTTGGCACTGTTTGGCATTGTTTTGATGTATATTTCTTTGCCAAAAAAGGAAATAAGGAAGTGTGAAGTTTATTTTAGACCGTCCCAAAAAGGAAAGTGTGAAGTTTATTAAAAACCGGAGGGAGTATTTCATTAAAAAATAAAGAAAATTTATAAGAATATACAGCTAAAATTGTTGTCTATAGTACCCTCAGCCGCATTGCCCTATCACTGCCAGTGAGCACACCGCATTGCCCGTCCAGTGACCATGTGCCATCCTTAGCCCCTAATCGGACCCCATCAAGCCCAGCTCCAACTCTAGCCGCCATCATAATATCTGACCCACCCCAACCCTAGCCGCCATCACATTCCCCAACTAACCAACCAACCCCCTAACCAACCCCATCTATAGACACCACAAACGACTTTTTTTTATCTGGATTACAAACGATGAAGCCGTGATTGAACACCACCGTCATTGATCAATATCTTCATTGGTCCGTCATTGTCTTCCATCAACCGCCATCGCCAATCGTCCGTGGGGTTCGTTGTACACATTGATCGCTTTTGGAGCATTGATTCGCCATCCTTATGCGAGACAGGAGGATATGGAAAAGAAGGTGATTGGCGGACCTGCGGAGGCAAATCTGCAGTGCTTCAGTGGCAGTGATATACTTTGGTTGCGGCGATGTGGTTCAGAAGCTGCAGAAGAAACATAAAGGAGGCAGCCTGTAGGATGATGCAGTGAAACTTCGTGGAGTGATGACGATAGCGGAGTTTTAAGATGGAGGAGCCTTAGGTCGTGTTTACTTCGCTATTAAAGTCACAGTTAGGTTAGTAAGACATGTGAAATAAACATGCAAGATGTTTAAAGAGCCGCTTACTAACCGAAAGAGGTTCTTAAAGTATCGCTTACTAAACACATAACCCCCTATGTATTAATTAAACGACACTTTAAGCTTGTTCAGTTTCTGAATTTACCCTTACTCTTACCCCTTTGCCCTTACCCCTTATTGTTACTTGTACCCTACCTCTACCCTTTACCCTACCTCTACCCACCCCCCACCCCTACGTACACCTAACCTACCTTACCCTACCTCGACCCCGCCCTGACCTCGACCCCACCCTCTACCCATATCCCTACCTCTACCCACCCCTGACCCTACCCTTAACACGACCCCGACCCCACCCCTACCTATCCCTACCTCTACCCACCCCCGCCACACCCCCTACCCTAACCTACCTTACCCCAACCCCACGCTACACCTATCCTCCCCTACCCCTAACCCCTACCCCTTCCCCTATGGTATGGGTTGGGATGGGGTATGTGCATGAGGTGGCCCCCACGTATTATATTATACTCCTTCCGTCCCAATTTGTTTTGCAAAGTCAACAATTTTTGGTCAATCAATAATAAAAGTCAACCCTCCGTATGGACAACTAATTAAATTTTTAACAATTAAAATTTACTTATTAAAAAACTACATTAAAATTTTTTCAAAGTTGTAAACTCCAAATTAGAACATAATTAAAAATTGACATCCTAATTAAGTGAACAAAACGAGACCATTTGACTAAGCAAAGTTAAATTTGCAACTCTTTTTGGGACGGAGGTAGTATATACGTGTGAATGTTATGATATCAATCTAAGCCCCTTCCTCCAAAAAAAATACCCCAGCCACAACGAAGGTATACCTACTACGAGTTTAGTCACCTGCTGCATAAGATTTTACGCACTACTGGGCTCTTAAAATTAAAATATTACTCCGTATGTCATCAAACATACCAGTGATACAACTAATGTTAATGCGCGTGTTAGATTAGACATTTAGACGACGAGGACGAGGTTATAAAAGCATGCTATAGTGCAACATTGATGTATCAGAGATACTGCCTAAATTAAACCCCAGTAAATAAAAGCAAAACAAAAGGAGTATATGGAACCCAAGGCGACGGAGTCCGGCCGCCGGCAACTCCATTTCATGGTGTTCCCGATGCCGGTCCCTGGCCACATGATCCCCATGATAGACGTGGCGAGGATTCTAGCCCGGTCTGACCGCGGCGTCACCGTTACCATCTTCACCACGCCGGTCAACGCAAACAGGATCCGGTCAACGCTCGACCAAGACCGGCGATCGGGGTACAAAATCCGGGAGCACGTGGTCCGGTTTCCGTGCGCGGAGGCCGGGCTGCCGGAGGGATGCGAAAATGCAGACTTGATACCCAAGGGTCAAGGCCTCGGACCCGCCTTCCTGGCCGCCGTCTTCATGCTCCGGCCACTGGCGGAAGAAGCGATTCGCGGCAGCGATCCGCCGGTGAGCTGCTTAGTTTCGGACATGCTGATTCCGTGGACGGCGGACTTAGCGGAGGCGCTGAACATCCCAAGAATCGTGTTCAGCGGGTCGTGCTGCTTCTCCTTCGTCTGCTTGATGAAAATCATGGAGTCCAGGATTCTGGGGAGGGTGAACTCGGAGACGGAGATGTTCACCATCGCCGGACTTCCGCCGCCGTACGACGACAAGATTGAGCTTTGCAAAGGTCAGGTGAAGGGGTGCGTGGTGGACCTGATGCATGAAAACGAGGCCCAGAAAGAGCTGGGGGAAAAGCTGCTCCGGGCGATGACTTTGGCTCACGGCGTAATCGTGAACAGCTTCGTAGAGATGGAGCCGGAATTTGTGGAAGAGTACAAGAGGATGTTCCACCATGGGAGAGTGTGGTGCGTCGGCCCTGTTTCTTTGAGCATTTACCAGTCCGTGCAGGTACGTAATTCCGGGGGCGTATCTAGGAACGGGAAAAAATACAAATTTTCCGTATATCAGACTTACCATATAAAAAAATACCAAATTTACCAAAATGTTTGGTAAACCGACACTTTTGGTACGGTATGATATCGTACCGAATTACTTCGGTATGGTATCGGTATATATTTAATTTTGGAAATAAGTGATATACCGGTATACCGTCATACCGTAATTCCAAGCCAATAATTTCCTTAAAATTATAAAAATAACTAGAAACACAACACTAATTCAAGGATAAATGACTTTATATCCATGTTTCTTGAATTATTTGTACTTTTTGTTGGAGATCGGGTTTTTTTTTTGCATATCGAAAGTTTATGGTAAAGGTATGCGACAAAATATTCGGTATACCGTACCGAACCACCCCTAGGCGTATCCATAGGGGGCGTATACATATCCCGTGTATCTAATATTACATCCGTTCTTTTTTAGTTGGAACGGTTAATGTTTCACATTTGTAGAGGCACATCTTATTCACTGTTAGGGAAAAAAATTGAAATTTTGTAAGGAGATGAATTGTGAATAATAGTGTAAATGTAGTCAAAGACTCAAAGTAGAGCATGTGAATAGTGTAAAATTCAACATGTTGCGATTAAAAAAACAGAGGATAGTACGAACAATTACACATATAAATAATAACGTAGATAATAGAAACAATTACACATATGTGACTAAAAAAAATTGCACTGGTATACACACACACACACACATATATATTAGTCATATTTGTGTAAATAAGTTTTATTTTAGTAATATTGTGACTCGTGAGTGATTGGTGTATTCCCTGTGACTTACAATTTTAGTGATATGAATTAGACCACCAAATAATGACCACTCGTGAAGTGCTGTCACCGTAGTCCGGATAAGTGATTGTCGTCGCCTCCCAATTAGTGACTCTCGTCGCCGCCCCGATTAGTAATTGACGTCGAAGCCCCGTCGTCTAATTGCCATTGCCGCCCCCATCCAATGACTGCAGCCACACTGATAAGTGACTCTCACCCACCCCCCACCCCCAGATCAGTGATCGCCTCCTCACCCACCTATCGGCTAGTGACTACCGCCTCCCCTAGCCAATGACCGTCGTCGTCCCCGGGAAGTGTCTGCCTCCAACCATCAACGCACACCGCCGCCGTTGACCACCACCCCGCCCCCGGCTTGACTCCCTGGCTTCCTCCCCAACCCCCTTCGATCCCCCTAGCCCTCTCCCCTACCCCTTCTGATCCCCCAGCCCCCTCCTCAACCCCCTCCGGTCCCCAAGTCACTCTTCAGCCCCCAGCCACCTCCCCATCCCCAATCCCTCTCCCATGCCCCCATTCGACCCAAAGCTCCCCCACCCCATCATCATGGAACAGTCTCATCTCCCTTGCCCCTGTCACCAAAATTGTCGGACCACCGTTGCCCCCACCACTCCCTATAACACCCCGCTCTCTAGGGTCCGAGGTAGTTACTCATTCACACTCTCCAGACCTCTATTACTGTACTCATAAACCACTACAAGCCTTTTCCGCACACTTTGTCCTCACTCATGCGCGTCATGAAAAACTTCCCATGGGGTCGCCCATCCCAAGACTATTCTTGTGCAAACACACTTAACTTGGTATGAGAAATTGATGCACCTTGTTGGTATGAGTAGTACTATCAAACCAAGCATTCCATCTCAGCTGGTTGTGAGGTTACCGTGCCTAGTGGGAGGTCTCAAGTTCGAATCCCGCTAGGCACATAAGGGTTTGAAACTCGATGGGGTGAGTTTCAACCCTATTACTCCAGGGCCCCCAGACCCCCTCCTCCAGACCCCTCTGGAGTAAAAAAACGAGAGTAGTAATATCAATCCATTTAAATTAATCTCAAGTTACATCCCAGCCACCGTAATAACGCACGCATCCCAGCCTCACCAAACAAGGTTGCACCCCATCCTGCAAACTACTCCTTAGCTTCCAGCCCCGCCTTAGCCACCTCCCTACCCCTACCGCATCTGAGTCACTCGACACAAACCAGATCTAACGAAAAAATGTGTGAAATCCTTCAAATATGAAAACTAGATCTGATCGACGGTTGTAGCAGAGAAAGGAGTAGAAGAAGAAAAGAGGGTTGTGGCAGTTGAAGAGGCGGGGAAGCGGTTGAGTAGGCGCGGTGAGGAGCTAAGGCAAAAAAGAGAACATTTAATTTATAATCTACTCAAATACCCTTTATAAACTCTAATCCATCGTTTGCGTCTTGTTGCTTCAACCATCTGCCGACTGTTATCCACCTATATTCTATTTCTCTTGATAAGTGCGAGTCAGCCTTCTCCGCCACCGTCTAGGTAGTTTCCCCTGCTGCCTCCTCAACTGTCACTGTCTTTTTCTCCTTCTTGCTCGCAAACTTTCTCTGCCAAATTGCCTAAATTGGCTGATGTTTGAGAGGAATATTTAACCTATTTTTCATTTTTATCCATATAATATATTTTAAATATAATTTTTTTCACAATGCAGCAGAATCAGCCAATTCAACCACTTCCGTGTTACCAAGTGAGCTTTTAATAAATTTTTGGAAAAATTGATAAGAATAATCCCACCTTTCACTGGTCTTCTCATAATAATCCCACCTTTAAATAATCCAAAAATAATCCCACATTTGCACCTCATCTTCTTTCATTGGACCCTGACCAAGTTTTTTACCTTTTTTAAAAATCTTATATAAATAATCTCACATTTATAAGGATATAATTAAAAAGTGAAAGGTGAGATTATTTGTATAATTTTCAAAGAAAGGGTAAAAAACATGGTCAGGGTCCAATGAAAGAAGATGAGGTACAAAGGTGGGATTATTTTGGGATTATTTTACAGTGCCCCAGCCCCTGTTATCTTTTTCTCCTTCTTGCTCCCAAACTTTCTGTGCCAAATTGGCTAAATTTGCTGATGTTTGAGAGGAATATTTAACCTATTTTTCATATTTTTCATTTTTATCCATATAATATATTTTAAATATACTTGTTTCACAATGCAGCAGAATCAGCCAATTCAACCACTTCCGTGTTACCAAGCGGGCTCTAAATAAATTTTTAGAATTTAGTTTGTAAGACATGTTTGGTAACACTAAAACTGGCCGAATATTTTACATCTACTAAATTATGAAAAAATAAATTTAAAATATACTCCCTCTGTCCCGAAAAGGTTTGCCAAATTTCCTTTTTTGGATGTCCCAAGAAAGATTTGTCATTTCCATTTAAAGTAAGGAATATGTGGCTAAAGTTAATTCTCTCTCCTCTGCACAAATTTCAACCACACAGTTTTTACTTTATTAATCAACGTAAAAGTCAAAGTTGGCAAACCTTTTCAGGAAGGAGGGAATATTTTATTAAAAATAAAGAATATTTTATATGAATATATAGCTAAAATTGCTATCTATAGTACCCTCGGCCGCATTGCCCTATCACTGCCACTGAGCACACCGCACTGCCCGTCCAGTGACCACGTACCATCCTTAGCCCCCAATCGGACCGCATCAAGCCCAGCTCCAACTCTAGCCGCCACCATAATGTCTGACCCGCCTCAGACCTAGCCGCCATTATATTCCCCAACTAACCAACCACCCCACCCCCCCAACCAACCCATCTCTAGACACCGCAAATGACTTTTTTTATCTGGATTACAAACGACGAAGCAGTGATCGAACACCACCGTCACTGATCGATATATCCTTATTAGACCGTCATTATTGTCTTCCATCGACATCCATCGCCAATCGTCCATGGGGTTCGTTGTACATTGATCGCTTCTGGAGCTTTGATTCGCCATCCTGACGCGAGACAGAAGGATATGGAAAAGAAGGTGACTGGCGGACCTGCGGAGGCAGATCTGCAGTGCTTCAGTGGCAGTGATATACTTCGGCTGCGGCGATGTGGTTCAGAAGCTGCGGAAGAAATAGAAATGAGGCAGCCTGTAGGATGAAGTAGTGCAACTTCGTGGAGTGACGACGATAGCAGGTTTGAAGATGGAGGAGCCTTAGGACGTGTTTACTTCGTTATTAAAGTCACGGTTAGGTTAGTAAGACATGTGAAATAAACATGTAAGCTGTTTAAAGAGTCGCTTACAAACCAAAAGAGGTTCTTAAAGTGTCGCTTAGTTAGCATATAAAATCCCATGTAGTAATTAAACGGCACTTTAAGCTTGTTCAGTTTCCGAATTTACCCTTACTCTTACCCCTTTTCCCTTACCCCTTATTGTTACACGTACCCTACCTCTACCCCTAACCCTACCTCTACCCACCCCCACCCCCACACCTAACCTTCCTTACCCTACCTCGACCCCACTCCGACCCCGACCCCACCCTCTACCCATATCCCTACCTCTACCCACCCCCCGCCACGCCCCTACCCTATCTACAGGTATGGGTTGAGGTGGGGTACGCGCACGAGAAGGCCTCCAGGCCACGTATTATATTATATATACTTGTGTATGTACATGAATGTTTGTGTGTCTATGTATGTATAGAGTTATTTTGGACATTTAAATGTAAAACAGTGTTTTAAATTCCTTGAAATAAACATGAGCTTACAACACTGCTTATTTTATGCGCCGTTTATTAACGCGGATCTTAATAAGCACCGTTTAGTAACCTGTGAAGTAAACGTGTCCTTAGTGATGGGAGCGAATATTTTTGTCCATTTAAAATATGGTCTTTTTAAATGTATTTAATATATGGTCCTATTTTTGTTCATTGCAAAGCCTATTATACTCCATATTATTTATGTCATTCTTTCTTCATAAAAATGATGCTAAACTATTTTCCACAAGAAATTGAGTCATTTTACCCAAAAAAGAAACTCCCTCCGTCCCATTTATATTGTCCCGGAAGAGGGTGGCACGGTTATTAAGAAAAGTGGGTTTGTGTGGTTGATATTAATTGATAAAGTAAGAATAAAGTAAGAATAAAGTAAGAATGATTTAGAGCCACACAAACATTGCCAAATATGGTATGTGACAATATAAGTGGGACTTCCCGAAAAGGTAAAACGGGACAAAATAAATGGGACGGAGGGAGTAATATTAAAATGTCAAATAAGTGGCTTCATTTCAAAATATGGAGTAGCCTTTATTTTGTGATTTAACATCAGTTTTTTATGTCGTCGTAAACGAATAGATTTCTAGTTGCAAAGTGACTCCACATTATTTTTCTCGTTCATTAAACGAATTGTATTATTAAACGTGATTTCTAAATATGTATTGCTGGCTTATGGTTATAGTTGATACTCTCTCCGTCCCGAAAAGGTCGTCAAATTTACTTTTCTTGATCAATGGTAATCAACTTTGACCAATGATATTTTTAATACGAAATTTTTTAGAAAATGAAAATTATATATCAAAATGTTCCTTATTCAAAATATTTTCTTAAAAGTAAAAAATTTATAAATCATATACTTAAAATCATTGTCCAAAGTTTATGAGAACCAAGAAAAGTCGCGAACCTTTTCGGGATGGAGGTAGTACTTCGTTTAAAGTTATTTGGTCTTAAAGAAATGATGACTTCATATACGGAGTATATCCTAAACAACAGCAGGATCAGCAGGCGCGAGAAGAAGTGACGAAGAAGAATGAGAGTGGGGAAGAGGAGCAGTGCTTGAAATTTCTCGACTCGCAAGCGCCAGGGTCGGCAATATATGTTTCCCTGGGAAGCTTGGCGAGGATCACGGCGGAGCAGATGAAGGAGCTGGCTCTGGGGTTAGAGCTATCGGGGCGGCCCTTCGTTTGGGCGCTAGGGGGAGCACACGAGCAGCGGGATGCATTTGAGGAGTGGGCGCAGGCCGATGGGTTCGAGGAGAGGACCAGAGCGAGAGGGGTGCTGGTCCGCAGGTGGGCCCCGCAGCTGCGCATTCTCTCCCACCCTTCCACGGGAGGGTTCTTGACGCACTGCGGGTGGAACTCCACGCTGGAAGCCATCTCGGCCGGAGTGCCCATGCTGACGTGGCCGATATTCGCGGAGCAGTTTGTGAACGAGAAGCTGGTGGTGGACGTGTTGGGGGTCGGGGTCAGCCTCGGGGTGAAGGCGTCCGCTCTGTGGGAAGGGAATGAGACGACGGCGATGAGCGGAGTGGTGCTGAAGAGGGAGGAGGTCAAAGAAGGAGTTGGTCAACTCATGGGAGGAGAAGGGGAAGAGTGCCGGAGGAAAGTCAAAGAGCTGGGGGAAAAGGCCAAAGTGGCGGTTCACAAAGGTGGTTCCTCCCATCTCAACTTGCTTTCTTTGTTAGAAGACATTTCCTTATTTGGCTCTACAAAATCATGAGATTCCCTCGCACTACTAGTAGTTCAATGTATCTCGTGTTGATTATTTGATCATGGAGAATATATGTTCTAGAATAATGGTATTTCATGCTTCGAAATTATCACTATCAATTTAGTTGGATGTTAAGGGAGTTTCGCAAAAAACAAAATAAGCTTTTTGATTGCGAGAGGTTGCTGGACAGACCACTTGGCTGGCTTTTGGCGCGGCACTTTACGTTGGACAAGAACTA